AAATTTTAATTGAAAAAATAGATAACAATGATATTTTGTGCGATGAAATGTGAGAATAATTGTGAAAATATAAAAAATAAAATAAAAGGTAAGGTTGTGAAATGTAAGGACGTGTTCTAATTACCAAAAATAATTTACTGTTTAATAGCAAGCCACTACTTCCATCTCCTACAAGAAATTACATTTTCAGCAGGTGCCTGTAATGCAACACCATCCAACCCTAAACCCTAACCAGAATTTGGACCCGTATTTCAGCCATGCCTACATGGGTTATTCCATAAAACATAACCCTAATTTCGAAACCCTAAACCCACCCGTTCACATAGGTGTTGATACCCATAACACATTGGTTCAGCCGTACCCTCCTAGGGTTGATCCTCCATACGTGCCGCAGCAAGGACACAGCTTTATCGCACAACAGCCTGTGGTCGCTACTAATACTGCCGTGCCTTATTATAAGGAACCTAATGGAGCCGCCGTGCAGAATTGTGTGGCCGCTATCTGGCAACTTGGGACAAGTCTTGGTGCTGTTGTACGTGGCTTTATATTCTCAATTATTATGATTTTGAATTCTTGTTCTTCGGTTTGTTGATTAATCCTAAATTTTCATTTTTCTGAATTTTGATTAACGTTGTCAAGGATATAGAGTCATAAACAGATATATTTACGTGTGAATCTTTGTGTTTGGTTATATGTTCATGAATGTAGCCAAATTTGGTGTTTGTTGTAGTTCTTGTTTGCACTTCAGGAACATTTAGTGTCCGTAGACGGTAGATCTGGGAGTTTTAACTAATTCAGCTTTTTTAGAACATTGACACCTGCGTTCTTGAAGATAATGGATTTGAAATGCTTATTGATGAAGATGTTTTTATATTTTACGGAGTTCTGAATCAAAGTTGGTGTTTTTCAACCATTGGTTATCTGTCAATTGATTGCTCGCTGCTAATCAAACGCTATGCCATTGTATTCAAAATTATTGTTGGTTTTCTCCAGTCTTAGCATCCTTCTTTATGTTCTCTCCAAGTTTGAGTTTATCAATGACGAGGTTTGATCACCACATAACCGATGAAAGGAACTATAGAACGTGAATGCGTTGAATAAATAGATCTTTTTTTAGCAAATTGAATGTCTGAACTTTAGGTTACAATGTTGAATCAATCATTCTGTTGAATATGGAAAGCAATATATACCATGTAGTATGCATGCCTGAATCTATAAGAGAATCACGTGCACACATTTTTTTTTTTCTGGATATATCCAAAATTGCACAAGAATCATGATTTGCTTCAATCACAAGAAAGATTATTTTGATCTCTTTGTATATCATTGCATTTTTAAATCGTTCTATAATAATTCAGTACTTTTATTGGGCAGGTGGGGGCAGTATCAAACACATTTTGTCCCAAAAATAAATAATAAGTTCCTTTGATCACTGCAGGGTGTAACAGTACCTTCCGGTGATGTACAAAATACGTTTCCTGTTAATACCACTTCTGCATTTTGGACTGATCCAACAGTTCAGTCTCAGAGAAATGCTTATTGGAAAAGGACCCCAAAGAAGACGAAGGTTGTACAATCTGCATGGTGTGAAGTTTGCAAGATTGAATGCAACAGCAAGGATGTTTTTGACCAACATAAATTGGGAAAGAAGCACAAGAAAAATATGGAAAAATTGAACGGAATAACTAGCACATTTGTTGCTGCATCTGCATCATTAATTGGACCACAAGAGAAACAGGACAAAGAAAAAGCTACTGGTGGACAAAAAGCACAGAAAAGGGCTGCACAGCAAACGGAGGATTTGGAGACAAAAAGAAGAAAAGTTCTGGAAGGAGGGGCAGCAGTTGATGCTGTGCGTGCATGTGTCTTCTGTAATGTGGTTTGCAACAGTGAGACGGTGTTCAACCATCATCTCGCTGGTCAAAAACACGCTTCTGTGGTGAAGAAGCTTGCAGTTGCTGGTGCTACGTGAAACGCGGATAGTTGGCCAATATTTCGAGTTAAATGCATATTACTTGTTTTCCTTTTGGTTTTAGCACTATGATCTGCCGTTTCACTTCGATAATTTAATACAAGAATAGATTTTTGCCTAGAATTAATTTGTTAACATTGTTTTCTTTGCTCTTTTGGATCATTCAGTTGTACATGTTTCTAGTTTTGGGATGCACCCGTTTCCTTTCACAGGTTTATAATGGCTCTATCTTCTAGAAAGGTCAAGAGATTGGTATTGATTGAGGATGAACCAGGTCAGTGCTCTTGCTGGTATTCTGCTGCTTCTCTGGCTTCTTCTTGATCAAACCCTTTTCGGCTTTTCTACTCGTATTCAGTATTCTCTTGCTTTAGAACCTTTTCTTGGTCAAGTTTTTGCAGGTTGTAGAACAAAAATCATTAAGTACATAATTTGGTTTTTTTTTTTTTTNTTTTTTTTTTTTTTTTTTTGTTTAAATCATAGATTATGAGAAATTGAACGCAAGGGTAAATAGCTCATTTTTTTTGTTAGTGCTGAATGGCAGATGTCCGCATAATTTGCTAAAATTAACATTCAAGAAACCGGTTATAGAAAGTGAAGAAATGTTATCTTCTTGAATAGTATATGAGCTAAATGTTTTGATTAAAAATTGCTAGTATGTAGTGATTTAATTTTGTTCAGCGACAGATTTTACTACGATGTTTATTATGCACAGTTTGTCTTGAAATATATATTGATATTGGGATCTTGCATTTTCCAAATCAATGTTGTGAGCTTGCGCTTCTAGGAAACAGATAAATGTGGTGAAATTTCTCACAGTTTCATACTAAGGCACCTATAAAACTTATTCATAGATAAAAGTAACGGTTTTCATCATTATTAACTGACAAATTTTTCAGTCACTAGTCATTCAAGATTATTCAGATCACATTTCTTGAACCCTTTGAGATTGTCTACAGATTTTTCACTATATTTTCTTTCACAAGCCTTCTCATTATCTTCCCAGAAGGCGATTTTGGAATGGTGTCCACAAATTTCAGCATTCTAATTCTTTTGTAGGTGGCGACATTAGAAGCTACGAAGTTCATAATATCCTCTTCACTTTCTTTTCCTTTCGAGCTTATGACAACGCACGCTGCTGGTATTTCCCCTGCTTCTTTGTCTGGTAACCTGCAAAATGTAGTCCTTTTCAGTGACATTAGTTCTTATAGTAAGTTGGTAATCGAGGTTTGTAATGGTTAATACCCTACGACGGCCGCGTCTTCAACTGAATGGTGAGATAGAAGGATTGCCTCTAATTCAGCAGGAGCGACCTGTCAATTACATGTAAGTAACTGCACAAGATTTTTGGTTTTTGACTATGTTTTCATACTCAACCAAGCTTATCTGCCTTTATTGCAAACGATTGATCAAAAGGCCAATCTCTTTATTGATTTGAAGGACCTATTGACAGTTATTTGGCAATTTTATGATACCTGAAATCCTTTGTATTTGATCAATTCTTTGATGCGATCCACAAGAAAAACATCCCCATCATCATCAATGTAGCCAATGTCACCTGTGTGGAGCCACCCTTCTTTGTCTATAGTGAGAGCAGTCTCATACTCATTCTTATAGTAACCTGGAGATTTTTGCATAAATCCTTGAGTTGGGATCACTTAAAAAACTTTAAAGAAATAGTAATAATTGTAGTGGTTGGCTTACCTTTCATCACACACTGGCTTCTAACACAGATTTCACCTGGGCTGTTCTTGGGGAGAGACCGACCCGTCTCAGGATCGATAAATTTCACCTCCAGATTTGGAAGTATAAATCCCACCGAGTTTCTCTTTGCAATTCCATGGCCCATATTTGGATCCCCATGTGTTAGTGTAATGCAGCTGTGCTCTGTCATTCCATATGCCTGGTAGTGAATCATAAATGAAGTCAAATAACTGTTTCTTGTAAATTTTGTATTTGGTTTCATAGAATGTGAACAGCATAAAGTGTGTATTACCTCTTGTACCTGAACGCCTGGAAATTTTTTCTCAAATTCTGTTAGAATTTCAGGGGCAAGCGGAGCTGCTGCCGTCATGATGGACCTGAGCTTGAGTTTACTAAGATCAAAATCATCGACTATGGGGTTCTTAACCAATCCCAAAATGATGGGTGGTACAATTGGTGCAAACGTTATCTGGTGTGTGATCAATGCGCTCACAAATGCCCGAAGTTCATATCTACGCATCACCACCACTTTCCCCTTGTTTCTAATGGTGGCACAACATATTCCAGCAAGTCCGTAGATATGAAAAAATGGTATTAGACCAAGTATAGTAACCTGTCCTATTAATTCTGGTCCTACACTGAAGAGCGAAGAACAGAGATTGGCCACTAAGTTCCGGTGAGTTAGCATAACTCCCTTGGATAAGCCGGTCGTGCCTGATGAAAATGGTAGAGCGCACAGATCATCTTGATGCACTTTTTCTTCAATAATACCAGTATTCGCTCTATCTGCAGCTTCTAGCAGTTCATCCCAATGTATAGTTCCCTCAATGCGATCACCGCCTTGTATTATAACTGGCACTCCCAAATCTTTAACCTATTGTGCCAGTTACAAAAATTCAGACTCTACATTATAATAGGGGTAAGAAAAAATAGCCTTCTAAAAGGCCTGCCGAGGCACACGCCTTTTTTGTTTGGCAAGTGATTTTCTTGTTTTGAAGTCAAGCTCAGCTGCTAAAGCTTAAAAAGAAAATAAGCCCAACAAAAAACTCACCTAGCCCAAACCAAACAAAGCCCATGAACATAGTTTTCTTGTCCATGAGCGAAAACTTTATTGATTTTGGGGTTTGTATGATTCCGAGAATTATGTTTTTGTTGGAAACTTGAAAAATATGTATGAACTTTCCATAAAAAATTAGTGTGTGTTATTTTATTTATTTATAGGTTTAGAATATTTAAAATAATACTAAAAATAGGAAAACGCTCATTTATGCCTAGGCCTGTAAGGATGGAGGCTTGACATGCACGCTTTACTCCTTTTAGAACACGAGGAAATTCTTGCTTTTCATAGTGTTTTACCTTGTCATAGGTTGATCCGTCGGTGACAATAATCTTGGCATCAGCAGCCTCAACTTGTTTCTTGATTTCTGATGAATGTGCATTTGGATTAGCACCGGAAAATACACCACATGCAGCCATGATTCCGAGGGCAATGATAGCATATTCGGGTACATTTGGGAGTACAACCACCACGACGCGGCCTTTCCTCAGCCCAAGTGATCTCAAGGCATTAGCGAACCTCTTCACATCTCTAGTTACTTCTCCATAATTATATCCTTTTCCGGTTAGTGCATCGACAAATGCCACCTTATCTAGATATGGCTCTGCATTTGAAAGCACGAATTCTGGCAGTGTCATGTCTTCAGGAACTTGAACCGGAGGATATTTGCTGTGGAAAATTATTTCATCTTGCATGATGCTTTGAGCCCCGTTTTCCATGGTTCGGCTAGATAAATTGAATAAATATTGATTTGCCTAAGCTTTATAGGAGATGGGATTATCATGGTAAAAACATGGACAGAGATTGGTAAGATTTTAGGTGAAAGGCAGAGGCGAACTTTTGATGGGCTTTGATAGGTGAAGATTTGTTGAGTCACGTTGCAGTGTGGGGTGGGGTTGGGTTGGGTTGGGTTGTTCACATTGTTTTGTACATTTGTTAATTACTAGATTCAATGTAGAATTTGCAAGTTACCCTTTACCTTACAAAGGAACATTTAAGAGAGTTGCACATTTGTGTCATATAAAAGATTGGCTGCAAGATTTTGATCTCCTTGTTATGTGAGAAAATTAAGAATGATTTAAGTCTTGTTTGTCTTTCATTTTCTAAAATTTATTTTCAATCATACGTTTTATGAAAACAATATTTTTTATTAAAATTTAACAAAATATTATTTTTAGCTAAATCATCAAAGGAGTTAAAAGTTGACAAGACACTATAGCTAAAAGAAGCTTCCCTCTTGCGCCAGCAGCCAACTCCGTGTGTCAGCTTAGTTATTTCACATATGGATTGCTGGAAAAAAGATCGGCACTATGCAGCTCATACGTGGACGCAGATATCGTCACCTTGGTACTGAATGTAGTCCCCAAGTCCATTTTGTGCTGCTATTAGAGAAGGCCCTTTCATGCTAGGCGTCCAGATCAACTATGCTCGAGCCGCATCAAAACATTCTTCTTAGGAGTGGAAATTGAAGCCTTCAAGGGAGCTATTAGTTTCGATTTAAATTTCAATATGCTTAACACTCGTTAACCTTTTCTAAAAAAATTAAAATGGGTACATACTCCACCACCTTGCTACAAATCTCTGTCATGTCTTTCATTTCCCGTTTTCACCCCTTTTCACACCAAAAAAAAAAGGTGTCACGTTTGACATAGAAGAAATTTTCGAAACTTATATTCAATTTAAAATCTTTGACAATTTCTCATTATTGAAATTATGCATGCAAATCCGTGCTAACTTTTTTGTTTGTTCTGACAAATTATTCGATTATCATTTAATTTTTTTTATTGTTGTTTTTTTTTTTTGGATAAATTAAATTTGTTAAATTATTTATTCTTTTAATATTGCCAAAGCACCAACGTCCAAAAAAGCCTAACTAGGTACGTCCCTATTAAGACTTGAAGAGATTTAGATTTCCTAACCGCCATTAGTGGAGTAATTCTTATTGATAACAACGGCATAATTTCAGTGAAAGTGACTTTTTTACTAATCCAAAGAAAATAAGATTATCCCACTCCCACTTTTGAAATATAAAATGAATTAATCTAAGTGTACAGAAATAACGTTCACAGAGGTCTTACCGATCTCTTACATGAAGTGGGTCCCACGTCGGACCGACTTGATTAAAAAATGGTTCAAATTTTTTCCCGTCTTCCCGCTGTGTGTTGCAGCACGATTAATCTAAAATAGAAACCCTAATTTATGCAAGTCAATTAAGACCCCCACAAAATTTCGCCCCCACTGTACCATACTCGTAAATTCGAAAACTCAAGTTACGACAAGTTAAATGTTAAGAGCATGTTTGGCCAAGCTTAAAATTCAATTAAAATTGAAAATATAGTCGATATTGGGTCTCACTCGTCTAATAAAAGTCAACAATAACAGCTAATTTTTTAATTTTAATCCGATTTTAATTTCTATCGAACACTCCCTAAATGGGTCGAGATGTCGATAGCATGAATGGTTCACATCCATCGGGTCAACCCCAGCTTTCTGTAGCATAACGCGGTTTTGACAAGAAAGGTTCATATTATAAAGTAATTATTAGAGTAGTAATGTCTTTGAAATATTACACTATTGACTCTCAATCTATTGTTTGTGTAAAAGTTCGTTCCCAACATTTTAAAACTTCTATTGTATCGCTACGTGATTTTTATATCATAAAGTATTTTAAAATAGTGATTTGATGGAAAAAGAAAAAATTTGGGTTTGTGTGTAATATTATTTTATTTGAAAAATGTGTGATTAAAAATAAAAGTAAGAAAAATATATTTTGAAAATAATGTAGACCAAACAAAGACTAAAGTTGATGCCCCTAAATTTGATGTGACTCATGTATGGATGTCAAAATAATATGTTCAATTCAATACTTGTGGAGCCTTGCCTTGAATGGGCGGAGATTACCCACCTAACCAAGTAAACGGGGCGAAGACCATTGCCCCGAAACTGGTACGGGAATTATAGTCTCTGTCAAGTTTAAAATTAATTTCAAATTTGAGTTTTTTTTTTATCATTTTTAAAGAGAATATAAATTGTTTTTAACAAACTGAAAATTTTAATTTAAGTTAAAGTTAACCATTAGTTTTAATAAAATATTTTATAGAATTCACAATTTTTCAACCACAAATTACATCAACCTTTATAAAAATCTGATTTTAATTCCACCAAACAAGGACTTAATATATATTTGGGGACTGTTCATGCACTTGTAGTTAAATATTAGGGATCAATACAGTCTTGTTTAAATATTAAGGACTGACTTGCTATTTTGTCTAAATGTTGAGGAACAACTTTACAATTTTCTGTAGATCGGACCGACCGGCCAATCACATGTAGAGGAGACAAAGAACCCGAAAATGCTCTCTCTCTACATTTACCAGATGCATTCCATCATCAGACATTAATCTATAGAGGCACCAAATTTGGAGAATACTTTAATTCTGCTAATTGGTAAATTTGTCGAATCTTTTAGCTTCTTTTGCATTTATTGATTCATAGATTTTGTGTATACATGGATGTATTCAGACATAATTAGATTGAAAAATATGAAATATACATAAATGTATTCAGACAGAAGTAGATTGAAAATTAGGAAACCCTAGGTTAGCAGATTGGGCGGGATTTATTGTGGGGACACAGAATTCAATTCGGCGGAATATATCGAAGGGAGGAAATCAGGATTGTTGAATAGCTGTGGTGGCGGATCTGATGGTGAAAATTGCGTCATTGTTTACAAACAATTGTTCGGATCCAGTTTTGGCCAGGAAGAAGATTATTGGTTTTAGTTTTGTAGGTAGCTGGAGGTGTAGTCGTGCAAGCGGTAAATTTATTGATTGAGGGAGGAGGGCAAGAGTGGGGAAGTGGATTGTATTGGAAGAGGTGGTGGAGAAGGAAGATGCAGCTGCACTTCTCACCTAGCATGAGAAGTATAACGATATCATCAAGCAGCAGCGGTGGAAATAGCAATGGAGGAGGGGGGGATTTGATGAAGATCAAGGTCGCACCTCGCCACATCTCTTATCGCACGCTCTTCCACACCATTCTGACTCTTGCATTTTTGTTGCCTTTTGTTTTCATTCTTACTGCCGTCATCACCCTCGAAGGCGTCAACAAGTGCTCTTCTTTCGGTACTTTCCACATTTTGCCCTCCATTTTAACTAAATACTTCTGTACTAATTATGATTGATTCCGCAATTTGTTTTACTTAGATCTCACCGTATTTGTTGTTTATTTATCATACAGATAAGGATTCTTTTTCTTTGTTTGTTAAGATGTGGTGCTGTGTTGTTGGAATCTTTCAGTTAACTGGGGATTCCAATATTGATTTTTTCAAAATTTGTTGAAGTTTTAGAATATGACACCTCTTAATTGTGATTGTCAAGCTATTTCTGAGAATTCGTTTTCTCTAGACATTATTTTGGTAAACGATTTTGTTTTACATGCCGTTTACTGAATATTAGTCTAGCTGGTTGGCTTTTGCAATCACTGTGTATTCCTGTGCCAGTAATATATTTTTTTCAGCCTTCATCTTGGCATGTCGCTGCATCTTTTATTTATGTGTATATATTTTTCAAATAAAATGCTTGCTTGTTTGTCTTATCTGCTATTTAATTACACGTTTACTTCTTCTGTTATGTTTGTTACTCTTCTTTTGGTTTCTCCATTCATTTTCTCTCACTTTTTTCGTTAATGTCAGTATTTTTTTTTTCTATCAGTGTATCTTGAACTCCGATTCAATCTAATTGTATTGGTGCTAGTCTTCCATCATATATGAAGATATTTACTTATTAGTGCATTTGACGAAACTTATGGTTTCAGTTTATTGCCTTCTTCCATTTCTCAGATTGTCTAGGAAGACGGTTGGGGCCAAAGCTTCTTGGTAGAACTGATGATCCAGGGGTAGAGTTTTACATTTATTTACTTTTGTATTCGCTCATACTATTTTGTTTTATGTCAACGCTTCACTTAATGTAACATTTTGATGCTGGGAGTTTACTGAATAACAAGGCTGAAACTTTGTTTCTGTTGTTCTTGTAGCAGAGGGTGGTCAAGGATTTCGTGAAGATCCTCAATCAAGTGAACTCTGAAAAAGTCCCTGATCGCTTGAAGCTCCCAGAGTCTTTTAGTCAACTTGTTACAGAGATGAAAAACAATAAATACAGTACCAAGGAGTTTGCTTTGATTTTTAAAGGAATGGTATGTATCAGCTGAAAAATCTCGCTCTCTCTGTCATGCCATTGGTGATTGACTTTATTTGTTGAACACATACCTTTTTGTAAGGACAGGCTGTCTTTTGAATTTTGAGTTATACTGTCAGTTTAGATTTCTTTTTTTTCGTCATTTCACTTTTCCCATTTCACTTTTCCCACACAAGTCCAAAGCCATTATTAGCATGTTTGTTTCCATCTGTTTGACTTTGACTTTCTCATGGTACTAATTTATCAACATAATTCTTGACACACAACATTGGAAAATAGAGAAAGAGACTTGGCACGTTTTTAATGTTTATAAACATGCCAAAGATGATCTTGGATTTCAGAAAATATCTGAACCAACTTATGTGATGAGACTATATATCTGGCGTATGTCAAAATATAGGACCATAAAAGTGGGAAATGAGCAGTTATCATCACATATAGGCTATTGATCTAGCAATGTCGGACCACAAATTTAAAATCATGTTGCCTCCGTGTGGAAAAATTGCTCGATGTTTGTAAAAGAC